AGTTAAAACCAAGATTATTAAATTTTCCAAAGTTTAAGGAGATTAATTGTATTTTTAATACCTCCAGGTGTATAGGATCTGATGCTGAATCATGAGGGGAAGTAACAACACAATTACGGTATTTTCCAAACATTAGGTAGATTATATAGATATAACAGCAGGGAACTGAAAATGTCTTGTGAATAACAGCAACATCTGCCTGTATTTCATTTAATAATTTGTGGGGGGTCATTTATGTTGTAGAAAATGGCAGTTTATGAACAAGCTTTTGAGGGGAATGACACGTTGCTAAAGCTGCAATATTTTGTATTATGCTGTACAGATTCTGTATCATAAATCAAAGCAGCAGAGCCATATGTCCATGACCTCAGCTCCAAAAATCCTGCAATTAGTAATGATTTAAATTAACATGATTTGTATGGGAAACAGCTTTTAGAAACCTTGGAAAACTGGAGGTGTGCTCAATGAAGGACTTCTCAGATGCTTCACAGAGCTGAAGCATCAGCTCTGGCTGCCGTGAGCTGCCCCATCATCAGTGCCGCAGTATTGAAACTGAAAAGTGCAAATCAGGGCAGACTAAATTAAATCAATGTAATTGCTCAGTAATGCAGAGTTGTAAACTCCAAATGGAGGTCCATACAGGGGTCTTTACCAATTCACTTCAACCCATTCAGTAATGTAGTGCCTCATTCAGCAATTCAACCAAGCAGGTCGCATATCCCAGTCTGTGTGAGTTTTCTTCCCTCCCCAGTCCACCTGTGTACCTGCACTGGCAGACAGGTGAACTTGCAGTGAGCTGGGTCAGGAGAAAAAAAACTTGATTTTCTCACAGTGGTTGATTGATGCCCGTGTAGCTCTGTGAATGGCTTGTTGTGGGGTCAAATGAGTGCCAGTGCAAGGCAAGCAGGAGGGGAGAACCTCCTGTTTTGGCAGCAGTCAGCGATCAGATTGGCATTATGGTTTCATGAAGTCATATCTGTAAGTTATATGCTCATCTATAACTTTCTGGAAAGCTGTGGTTGTTGAAGGCATCACTTCCCCACAGCCGAGTGCCATCCCTCTCCTGGGCACTGCTGCTCTGTTTGTCAGCTGCTTGATGCAAAGGCAGGTAGGGGACACAAACTTGGCTGACTATGAGCTTCTAGGATCTTTCTAGAAATTTCTAGGATTGATGCAGAGAAGTCTTACAGATAAAGTATGGTTCAGATGACTCTGTACGTTTACATTAATATGAGATGAAATAGTTGACTCTTGGGTGACTATAAAGAAGTCTAGGCTCAGACTTGGGCAGCTGTGACTAGGCAGGTGAGCCATGCTGAAGGAGACTAAAGACCTCAGTACAATTTTCTGGAAAATAAAGGAATCCACATAGTAAAAAGACAAATGCAAGAATGGCTAACTAAGATCATAGGTAATGAACTAGTGTAACTCAAAAAAAAAAAAAAGGGGCGGGGGGGTTTACAAATCCCAGCCAGTTTATCTAGGTCATCAGACCAGTGTCAAAGTACTGAAGTCAATTTGTGGACTGAGGTAAGACATTGGAAGGTCATCATCGCCTTGGGGGGGAATCTTCATTTTTCCTTGTAAAGTTTAAAGGCCCTGAGCAGTGTCTGTCTGAGGACCTGTTTTTTACTACCTACTGTTAGAAATGACACTAGAGATTACTAAAACTGGAAGAAGTTATATGAACCAAACCTCTTTTCTCATTTTCTATTTAGTGCTGTCGTTAGTGTTCTTGGCAGCACTTCATAGATCCTCACTTTCAGTGGTTTCTACGCTTGGTTGCACTTCCTGTCCCATATATTAGCATAATGATGTCATTCTCGCACACCGCTGTGGGGGAGCATGGTGGTGTGCTCTGCCCAAACCTCTGCAACAAAGGCTTTCTCACTCTTGTACAAGAAGACTTTGCTTCTGCTCTGCTGGCTGAAATCCAAACGGAGGGTCCCTTTTTTGAGCCTCCCCTGTATGGAAGTGAGGAGCAGAGCGGAAGAGGCAGGGGGATAAGTACCTTCCTCACACCGTCTTCTGTAGGAAGCTACTTACAGGACTGTCTGCACCTAGTGTGGGTGAGCAACTGGAGCCTCATAACTCCATCGGTGCCCCCATAGCCCCGTACGGAGCTGTAGAAGGGAAGGAAAGGGTAGGGAAGCTCCTTACCCCTAAACCAAACAGCAAGGAAAAGTGGGAGCAGGAGCTTCAAACATGTCCCTGCTCCTCTGGGCTGGCAGGGCTGGTCATGGGAGTAAGGCACTGAGGAAGTCCCATCTGCCCAGTGCTCCTTTCATGGCCCAGGAGAGCAGCAGGGTTTTTTTCTCTGGTTTTCCTGCGCGTCCCAAGAAGGCAGCAAGGACAGAGCAGTTTTTCCTTGGGGATGTTGCTGCAGGAGAGGGAGGAGCGTGGCCGCCAGGAGGGAGCAGGCAGCCCCAGCGCCTCTGGGGAGCAGCCTGGGCTTGCTGCTCTTTCTGCCTTGTCAGGTTGCTCTGTGTGCACCAGGCCAGGCTCTGCTGTGCAAGCAGCAGTTATGCAGAAAGTTTAAAGTGATAGAAATCAGCGTGTTAAAACGAACTTGGAAAAAACTTCTGGAAGACTTTGTCCCCTTAAATCTGCCTGAAAGGGGCTCTTCTAGCATGAGTCATCCGCAGCTGTAGAGGAGCCCTGGGCAGAGCCTTCCTCCCCTCTGCTGAATGGAGCTGTCAGAGTGCCCGGAGCCAGGGCAGGGAGAAAAATACCCCGATTCATTTCCTAACGAGATATGCATGGGAGAATTCCCCACGGGGCCACCGGTGGGGGTTTGCGGCTTTGTGTTTTTTCAATCACTCGGCTCCACATAAGCAATACTGTGCAGCTTGGAGCTCCCACCCGGAGGACTGAAACACCCCAAGCCCGTCCCCAGGAAGCAGACAATAGTGTTGATATGCCTGTTGCTGCAGAGGAAGTGGCTTCTGTTACAAGCAACAAGCAATCTGCCAAAGTCCATGGTTGGAGTGGTTGCCAGGCTAAATTTGACATTAAATTATTTAACGTTTTTGGCTTTTGTCTTACTGTTTTCTCAAGATGTTTCTCCTGCTTCCTACCATTTAAATCTCACATATGGCAGGGTCCGTCCCCCCCCCAAAATAAAAATTTAATACAGGCTTTTATTTAGAAAGACTGGATTCTCTGTTAACATTTTTGTGCTATTTAATAGATGATGAAAATATTCTCAAATGCTCTCAGTAGGTTAGCAAAACTGGGGCTAAACCATATGCAGCTAAGGTGTTGCTCAGGGCTTCATCGTGCCTTTTCCCATCCCACCTCGCCGTAATCAGTTTTTGATCTGAATTTGACATTGGAAGTATGACATATTACTGCAGAAAAGATGGTATGTGCAAGTTAGACTTCAGATATTGGAGGCATCAGGCGCCCTCTTGTGCTGTTTCTCCGGCAACATCGCAAGGCGAGCAGCTTCCCAGGAGCAGAGGCTGAAGCTCTGTAGTTTGTGGGGAGACAGGTGTGTGCTTGGGGACCTACATCATGATCCAGTGTGGGACTGGTGTGTAGGAGTTACTTATTGATGGGTCCACAAACTTCACTTCAGCTATATAATGTAACCATTCAAAATGAAGCTTTGAACAGAAAAAAGTGACTTGCATCTTCCAAGAGACAAAACCAAGATTTTTAGGTTCATTCAAAAGTAGCAATGTTCACTAAGTATTAAATTTCTCTTATGGGCCAGATTTTAAGTTGAATCTCAAACTTCTCTGACTGTTAATAATATGATAGAAGTTCAGATTTGGGGGGTTTAGACTATGCTGTATGTTTATAATCATTCACCTCCTTGCATTGCATAATATCAGGAAAATGTGCTGCATCTCCCTGGAAGTCAAACTCTAGGATTAGTTTTATTAAGTCTAGTTAATAAATACTTTTTCAGATTGCTCACTGCAAATACCTCACTTCTCCAGATACCAGACTATAAGTAAAAGTGTAAAGTCCAGAGTAAAAGAGGTAAATTAATTTACAAAGTTAACTAAATAGCTATGGCGCCTCTGAAAACACAGGCCCTTGGTGGCTTGCTGCCTAAAGAAATAAATTTCACTGTTTTTTTAATATGTGGAACTCAGTTGTTCAAAGGACACAGATATATTATTTTCTGGCCAGTTGCAAAGTCCCAAACTTACTGATACCTGTAAGATGCAGACATGACAGAGCATAACATGTGCAGTGAGCTCTTCCCCTTGCCAGCATTTTTCTGTCTTCCTGGCTCTTTGGGGATTAAAGGTGTTGCTTATTTCAGGCTTATTGACCCAGAGCAGTTTTGGACTGGGCTGCCTGCCATTCTGTGATGGCATTTCTAGCAAAATAGCAGTTTCTACCAATGTACCTCTCAGCCTGAAAGCTCCTGAGTGTTATGATTGTTTCATAGAGCAGCAACTGGAGTATAAAAGAAGAATGGTCATGCTGGGCCTGGCTGAGATCCATCTAGCCGATACCAGTCCTGTCTCCAGCAGACACCATGAGTGGATGCCTTGATAAAAGCCTTAAGAACAGAGCAGGTATAAATGCTTTTTCCTCTACTGCTCTCCCAGCCTCTAACCATCTTCACATCTTGAGCTGAATATGGGGGTTTGTGAATTTAGTGAACCTTGACAGAATTCATTTCCAAGATTGTCCAGTCTTCCACTGAGCCAATATTAAACTTCAGTGTTCACAGCATCCTTGTGATCTCTGTTGAGCACACTGAGCTGATACCATATGGAACTTCCACCATACCCCAGTATCTCACTTCTGAGTGCTAATGGTCAGCTCTGACCACGTATATGAGCACATATATGTGAAGTTGGAATTGTTTTTTCTGCCTGTGCCTCATTTTACATTTATCTATATTGAATTCTATACGCCATTTTATTACTCACTGACTTATTCTTTGTGCAGTCTGTCACCTCTCATTTTCACCACCCTCAATAACTTAAATCATCAGTAAACTCTGTCATATTCTTGTTCCCCCACTTGTCCAGGTATGCTGAACCAGACAGCACCATCACAGATCTCTGGGGAACTGCACTGATGAACTTTGTCCACTGTGAGCACTGACCATCTTGTCTTCTGTTTCCCATCTTTTAACCATCATTTACCCCTGGAAGGATCTTCCCTCTTAAGCCATGGCTGCTTGGTTTCCTTAAAAGCCTTTTTGAGGAACATGGTTGAAAGCTGTCTTGAAACTCAAATGCACTTATACCAACCAAACCATCCTCATCCTTATGGCTGCTGAGCCCTTCCAAGAAGTCTGATAGTGCTTGATGCAGATTTCCATTAAAAAAAAACCACAACAAAACACCTGGGTTCTTCCAAAGTATATCATGTTTATCTGTTTAATAGCTCTGTTCCTTATTATAATTTCTAGTACTTGCTCAGAGGTGAAGCTTTGTACAGAAATATGCCTCTGCTGATAATGGTATGACTTTGGCAATGTGACTATGTTTTGTAGTACTTTCTACGTTCTTTGTAGAATGTCACAAAAAATATCACAGTGTGGTGTGTTTCTTTAGTGGGCAAGTAATGTCTGTGAAGCTTTTTAAAGTGAAAAAATGGCTATGGAAGTCCACAGAATTAATAGGAGTTACCGTTCATCATAGCAACGCAGTGGGTACAACAACAAAGGATCAAATCAGGGTTTTGTACATATTTTGAAGTTACTAAGAGTTATATGCCTGTACCTGACAGCATACTTGAATTTGACCCAGTAGAGACTAGAAATTCCTTTAGTCCACAAGTAGAATTTTTCAGGGGATTGGCTGAAAACTTCCCACACTTGAGCAGAAGCAGTTTCAGGGGATCAGATGCAAGGTTGGTTTCCAGCAGAGCAGGTCCAACCCTTGGAATTTTTCTGGCAGCCATCTATCACGAGTTGTTAGCTACTTTGTTCAGCATGAGAGACCATCTTATGACCGTACCTGATGCTATGTGGAAAAATAATCCAGACAGGCATTTGGGAATCCGCAGAGTACTAGAGGGGTGTGTGAAAAGTGCCTTTCCTTTGCCCAGCGAAGTCTATGTGCCTCTTCTTTCCTTTTGCAAAGAGGATGGGGAAAGGCTCCAGGCAGAGATGAAGAAAGTTTCCCTGAGTAGTTGGTCTCTAGCAAAGTACTGGGTGAAGCTCTTCGAAAGGCGGCACAACTTGTGTGGTTTGCATAGCTGAAATAGCTAATGTAAATGAATTCAGAGACAAATCTCCTTAGCAAAATCAGCCATTCCCAAGCACAGAATGTTGTCATTAATAACTTGAGCAAAGTGTGTGGTCGTCGTTGTTCTTTCATTAAATCTACCTACTTTAAAATATCAACAAAAGGCTCCTTGTGGCTGCACAGCTTAACCTCAGTGTTTGAAAACCTGACAGTGCCAGGTCTGATGCAGCTGCTGGTATAAGATCATTGGCAGATTTACTCCTAAACTATCCAATGAAAGAAAGCAAAATACGAGAATGGGAAAAAAATCTTCAGACAAATCCAGTAATTTGGGAGTAAATTATGCTCTTAGTTTTACTAAGCATCTGAACTACTGCTCAATGAATAATGCAGTAACAGTTTCCAGAAGACCAGCTGTTATATAGTAATGTTTTGATAAAACAAAGAAATGCACGTATTAGCATGGGCCTGTTAGGTCTGTGGGTTGAAAATGTGTGCACTGAGCGTGTGTAAGAACTGACATTGCTGAGGTACAAGGGCAACACATACTTTGCAAAAGGCTGAATCCAAACTGATGGTTCGCATCCGTTCATCGGCTGTTTCACAATAAGTGTGTGCGCATGGTTTTCCTTATAACACCCAATAGTAAGCATGACATAACTAAAAAGTAATGTCTTGCATTTACAGGAAGAAGAGAGGGGATAGGTAAGAGTGTGGACACAGATACTCCCTGCAGAGCTGCTGGCTTGTGGTTACTAGCTTGTGCATCTGTCCTTACTCAGCATTGCAGCAGTTAACTCCTGCCTTTAAAAAAAATGAATTGTTTAAATCCATATGAAATACTTTCCTAGGCGTGTCTAGGGGCCAACTCTGAGCTCTGACTATTGCCATGTTCTGCTCTTGGTATGCAAGATTATTTTTCCAGACAAGCATGAATAGAGTTCAAATGAATCTATCAATAATCAGTGGAAAGGATGTCATAATGCAAAGTCTGATACTGTAAAATATATACAAGTCCTTGAAAACATGTGTTTGGAAAGGAACTGCTTTATTCTTAACATAGCTGCAGGTCTGGCAGCAACAGCTCATGAAGAGGTGTGGGAATTAGCTGAATAGAGTCACTGCTGGCAAGGAGAGCTAGGAGGCTGTATGCTACTGATATGAGACTGACTCCTCATTTTTAAATCCCTTTGGGTAAAGGAAGGTAAATTATTTTTCTTTGCTGATGAAACACATTGTGAGGCAAAGCCATATTCAAGAAGAAAAACATAAGTGTTTACTGGAAATAAAATCTTTAAAAGTCAAATGGAATATGGCATCAAGAGAGATTTGTGATTTCTTTTAGTTTGTCATAATGTCCTAGATTCATCACAATAAATATGGCTTAAAGAAGAAGATACATGAACTGGGAGGTGGGGAAAGGAGGAGATGGCTGAAGATGAAACGCACATTTTTAATTACTCAATTGCTAATTCTCTGATTTAGATCTGCTTATAATTAAGTTAAACTATTTTCAATGGAATTTTTCTTTGTAGCATTTGCTGCAATGCAGAGTATGTGTGGTATCGTGCTGAGTCTAAGGAAAGGGCAATCAGAAATACTCCCTTGTCCTGTGAATGCCACAGGCCCTGTAAGGACTCCCATAACTATTAACAGGCACTTTTGCCAAAATCTACTTTATTACAGCATCAGTTTAATGAAGCTTGAAAAGCTATCTATAATGGTGCCCTCTGGTGACTTCAAAAATTTTTACACTAGAATGAAATAAAAACATGGAATTTGGCCTGCTACTGTGAAAGTACCCTGGCAAGTTGGACTATTCATTAAAGATTCATGAACAAATTAGAGCTCCTAGAGCCCAACCAGGCAATATATGCAAGCCATACACACACACAGAAGTCCAGGACTAATCACTGGACTAATAACTCTGCTCCTGCAACACTTGGAATGAGTAAGACAGTCTCTCATCCTACTCTGCAAGTAATCTCTTGTACATTCGCAATAAAAAGAAATCTGACTTTTGACACTGCAAACTGATCATCTATTTTTCTAGTGCCCAGAGAAAAGAAAATTAAAAGGTGAAACAACAAAATGTCTTGCTGAGTTTGTCTTGATACAGGGAATGTGGGGGGTGTTAATTGATTATATGAAATCTCAGAAATAAACTACCTGTGCAAAAGAATGTCTTTTGTATATTCTACAGTTAGGGTGGCTGCCACACAGGCTCTGGAAAGCTGATCTCGGTGCACTATTTCCTCTCCTGGATATTGCCTTTTATACGTGCAGTATGTCTACAGCATCTAATGTCTCCACATTTACTGCCTATCATTTCCCACCATGCTGACCTACATGACCTTCCTCATTGCACTGACTCTAGTGTTCACGTGGCTCTTACTGTGTTCTGGCTGAAAAGGAATCTTTTATTTGCAGGGTTGTGCTATTTTACAGCCAGATCTGTGGTCATATAAACACCAGAGCTGACAGAAGCGAGTAAGTACATGTGGCTGGGGATGGATGGAATAGGTGTGGGCACCCCTTCCAGCATCGCTTCTGTTTTAAAGCATGATACAAAGCTATGTTCTAATCAATATGAATGCAACACTGGTGAGGTAATGAGAGTATCACACTCTGAGGCAATTAGCCCAACAGAAAACCATCCCCAAGCAGACACAAGCAAGATAATGGATACAGGGTAAAAGAAAAAAAAAAAAAAAGAATAAAACCTGTGTTAATAACTTAGTATGAAGTGTGAACTATTACCTAATGATTTAATCATTCCTTACTGAATTTCCAAATGAGGCACATACTCCCAATAACTGTATCAGGCTAAGTATCTCCTTTGCTTTTCAGCACTTCCCCTGTGCCATGCTTAGGAGAGGATGTGTCTCCTCCCATTCATGTCCTTTGCAAAACAGCCCCTTAGGCACAGTGTAGATCAACTGGCTTTTATGCATATATTCTCTAAAGAACCCTAAAGGAGTAAACAAAATATTTGTTTTGACAAGATGCCTACTTTGATCATAAATATTAAGATGAGGAGGTATGAGTATGATTTTATTCTCACTTCCCAAATAATACAGTCTGTAGAACCTTCTCCACTAACTTCTTCATTAAGTCAGTAATTTCCCTTTCAACTGCACTCGGTATTTTAGGAAAATACCTGGTCTTGATTTTACAGGCCATTTAGTATCTGTCAGAGAGATTGTGCTATCATTTTGAGGTCCAATAATACATCAGAGAAGGATTTTTCTCTGTGCTAGCATTTGCAGTGTTTTGGTGTATGTGTCTTGTGTTCACACGGTGCTTCCTCCTGGCCTGAATAGTTAGCTGGGTTCTTCTAGGAGGGGAATAAACCCATTGATAAATTCATACATCTTTAGTGCAGCGCTGTATCTCTGAACGTTGCAGGAACACAAAAAATGAGTACTTTTCTCAGTGACTATGCCCAACCTTGGCATTTCTAGCTAAGCTGATGTTTCAAAGACTCCAGCTTCCTTCTTTGTTGAAATTATTGTTGCTTACTTTCTGTCTTCTGGCCTGCTGATTTTTTCTCAAAGACTTGTGTAGCTCAACCGGTTGTCTCCAAGCTCCTGCTACCATTGCAAATCCATGTCCCACCTGGTGTACTTGGGCAGTGACTTCTGCTGTGCCAGCCACCTTGCTCCATAAAGGAACTTAATTGCTCTTCTACTTAGCCTGAATGAAGGGTGGCTGTCAGGCTCACTGCCCTGGGCTTCATCAGCCTGTGACTGATCAAAGATACGTGCGATGTGTTGTGCTTCCCACGGTCTGAGAGCCTTTGGGTTTATAAAAGCAGTGAAAGGAGACATGGGGTTTGGTATGGTTGTAGAAAACTGTCCATTCATACACGTCTTCTCAGCTGTATGGGAGATCCGTTACGCAATCTGCTGTCACAACACGAGGAATGTGTAAAATGGAGCTGATATGATTATCATGCCCATTAAATGGTCTTTGCTTTCATTTTTCTAGCCTTCTCCATCCGCAATAAGTTATTCTGGCTTAGTACCTGGGGTAAGACCTAGGCAAGAAACACATATTCTGCAAGGATTCGGGCAGTAGCTCTGAAGCTCCTAAGTGTTTGGATATAAATGTGCTTCTTGCATACATCT